CACTGAGGCTGCGACTCAAGCACCTACAACGGTACCAGGATTAGATGAGACAGTAAAGTCAACCACTGAGGCTGTAACTCAGTCACCTACGACTGTGATTGAGTTAGATGAGACAGTAAAGTCAACCACTGAGGCTGCGACTGAAGCACCTACAACGGTAACAGGATTAGATGAGACCGTAAAGCCAACAACTGAGGCTGGGACTCAAGCCCCTACAACGGTCACACGATTAGATGAGACCGCAAGTCCAAACAACTGAAGCCCACCACAATCGCAATTAAATCAAATTTAAATTTAAAAAATTAAATTAAAATGATCCTACTGTGTCTTTATTTCTGATCTGGCGACGTTACATGTACTGCTGATCGCGGCACGAGTTGCATGAATATATGTACGCGCCGCGTTTTTATGAATTAACCACTATATGTTGACAGTAGTTCAAACGAGAAAAATTGGAAACGGCTAAAAGTAGTCTTTCAATGTATAGGATAAAAGAACAAATACCGCTCGCTATAGTTTTTTTACAAAAGAATATTCGGCATATTCTCAAGGAATGATTCACACTTTGAAAAAAATGCAACAAAACTACCATTGTAAGAAAAAAACACGCGTTTGCAAATAGCTCCATGTACGGTTAGTATGTTAAACATGCCAATTCCAACTGGAAAATATACCAATTTTTTAACTGTGGTTCATTACGCGCTAGAGTAGGTATATTCTTTTGAGTGATATCTTCAAATTAAAAATCTCAATATTTTTAAGTTTTAACACTGGTTTCGCTCGATTATTATCCGAAATTTGTCTTATTACTGTTATTATTAATTTTACAAAAAGGAGGTTAAAAAATTGTAAAAGCTGTCGATAAGGGAGCGTCATCTCCCGTGAACTAAGAACTAGTATAGATTTTTTATCGGCTAACGAAGAGCCGTTCTCTGATTGTCAATGAAAATAAAATCCAAAGGCTTCGGTGGATGGTTGCTTGCGTGTCAGAACTTGCGTGAGACTCGTTCAATTTTTCTTTGCCGGTGGGTACTAATTCCTCTCAAATTATCTCAAACCATTCTTGCGGTTTAATTCTGACATTTTTTCAAGCTCTTTCAAAATTTCTCCGGATAGAAAGCCATTCGATCTTCGTATGTATTGAACGTTGAACCGAACAATTCGTTTGAGTTAAGGGAATTGTCAAAATAATTTAATCAATTCTATATGCTTGGAGTACATCAGAGTGTGGGCGATCAAGGTCCATAGATGCTCCATAACGGTGCCATGATAATTTGCCAGACAACACAAGTCTTGGGCCTACATGGGACTTACACATTTGTACATTCAACTACATCGATTCGATATAAAATTTCACTTAGAAAATAGATTCATCAAATTCTTATCTTATTTTCCGTTGATAAGAATTTCCTCATTATGAATAACGTCGCTAATTCTTATTCAAATCGTCGTTCTTGAAAGTGATCTCGCAAATGAATTTAAAAATACTCATATTCAAATGAAGCTTGATGAAATTAGTTGCTGGATTTTCAGTTAATTTTGTTGTCCTTTAGATTAGTAAATTGACATTTCATCGAATGCAGGAAACGCTAATTGATTCTTAAAGTTGTTGTCGCGTAGAATTTCTCGACAGTTTTCGGTGAAATGTTTATGGTGAATAGTTAAAAAAAGTTAGCTACAAAATGAGCGCTTTCTGTTTGCCAACTTTTCAAAAACGACAGTTTCAAAAATAAAAAAAAACATCGAAAATAAATCCTGTGAGGGGGCACAGAAGAAAAAAACAAATCGATTGACTGTTTGGTTTACACGATATAATTATTGAAAATTCATAAATGTATATAATTAGAAATGTCTAGTTATGCTTTAGCTATTCCTGCACAGTGGAATCAATCAAGTGAGACTATACACCGTCAATATAGCACATTCTGAACTCGCTTGTTTTACAGCGGATAAACTTTTTGCAGAGACTATCGCGCGACAACAACCTTAAGGAACAGCATGAGGATAAATTTGACGTTTATTTTCGTCGTAAAAAATATCAAGTTATTTTACTTGTAATTTGAAGAATAATTTTCTAGCTGTTTTCATCAAATCCCAAAATCCTTTGAACGTGCTTGAATTCAAATATTCAGTACTTTAGGGAGAGCAATACGAGGATTCCTCTGTTTATCTTCTCCTTTTTTCATTCACTTGGGATAAAAGTTTATTCCTTTAATTCCTTTATCAAATGGTGTTGGGTTGTGCATTGAGCATCGAAACCACAGATTGAGAGAGAAAAACCTGGGGATAAGTCTTCGCCCAGAAGATAAAATCTGCATCCGTTTGACATACTCATTCTAAAACTTTTTTTTATTCTAAAGTACTTGACTACAATGATTAAAATGTCTTGTGCGCAACAAAATTATTCTTCGTTAAAAAGTAATTATTGATAACAGTCATTAATAATTCCCAATATGATCAATATTTGATGAAGAGATGAGATATTAAATGAACGAACGAAGGAAAAAGAAAACATGAGTTGCCACTACCACTTTTTTTCCCAACTCCAAACCCATCTCTCAAAATTATTGATGGTCATCAATGGCCACTAGAAATACCGTGGGTGAGAAGAAGATAAAATTTCAATGTCCGAGTGAACCAAGCCCCTCGATAAACGGTAGAAATAGAACTACATCGACATGATGGAATTTAACCATAAGCAACGGGTTCCCCCGTATTTCGGTGTCATTCGGTTTCACTCGACTGGCAACACAACATCGCTTTTTCCGTGAAAACGCCAAACTATTCACAGCTGTCAATTTGTTTTTGCTAATTGTTTTTTAATGCGCCTGCAATCGTGGGAAATGTTTACATGGAGAATATTGAGTGAAACTATTTGCGTGGTATTTTATCTTGTTTTCGTTTGTTTTTTCGTAATTGTTAGGGCTAATAGTGAGGACAACATCATTAGTGAGTATCATTCAAACAATTTTAATTAAAATTCCCAATAAAAACAAGAGGACGAAGCAAAAAATTGGATAGAAAATTATGAAAGAGTCATTTGTAGAATTTTCTAATTAAAAAAATTGTTTCCACGACTTTATCTGCTCGTTACGAATGATGCAGCGTCCGAATGTCCTCTGATAATTCTAACAAATATCTACCTGTCAAAAAACCCGAGGAAATTCATTAAAACTCCGCACATATTCAAATCACTCCCTTTTTTTCTGGTTGTAGATTCTCGAGGGCTCTCGAGTCTTGAATGGGGCGAGCACTTGGTGCGCGGGGAAAAGGACCCATTATTACCCGAAAATTACACGTACGTGCACCTTCGTGGGAAGCGCTTCGTGTCTCTAACGAATGCAGACCGAAAGGTAAACTTTAATTATGAAAACCCGGAGGATTTAATTGACTTTACGGGCTAAATAAATATCCATTGCAGGTGAACAAACCGCATCAGGCGTGTTTAGCTCCTGGAGACAAGAAGGGACATTGTAGGCACTTGGCGCAGTGTATCTTGAAGGATTTCCAAACTAATTTTACGCGGTTCCTCGATTACATGTGCATTATTCAACAATCGTAAGTTTCGTAAACCCCCATAACTTATTTTTCAGAATAATTACAAGACCATGAGAACAAAGACAACGAATTCGCTCTAAAATATTAAATGAATTCATTCCAACTCTAGTCTATCCACTATACACCATAATATCGCGATAATAAAGTTTACAGTGCTACAGTGCTTACAGCACTTGCACCGACAAATTTCCTCATCCCGTGACAATCTTCTACCCAATTCTACCAAGTTTGTTTGCTTCAAGTTGAGAATTTATTACGATTTACATTAGGTACGTTGGCGTCTGTTGTCCAGACAGTTCTAAAGAGGTCGAGCAAATCAACTCACTAGCCTCGGAGAACCTCGTTGGATTCCTTCCGGCAGTTGCAGGTAACCCGCTGGTTATATACAGAACAAAATGGCAAATTGTGATAACAATGTTTTGGATAATTCCACTCCTCAGAATTCTCAAACACCATGAAAGTTGAATCGAGTACGAAAATAGGGAGACAAAGAAGAAGTAATTCTCGGATGCCAGCTGTTCACCAAAACCTTAACTTCCTTTTGTTCCCATTTTCTCTCGTAAATCAACGGCGTAATGAAGTACAAGAAATATATTATATAAGTTAGGGTAAAAAAAGCAGATAGAATTTTGGCAAAGCTTGAATAGAAATTCACAAGAGTTCTTAGAGAATGCCCCAATCTTTTCTATTGAATTTTTTCGTAAGTATTCGGCTGGTTCAATTAATGTGCAGATGTTGATGACAAGCCGATCTGGGGTGAGGCCTCTGAGCCTAATGAGACTGCCATAAAATCGGAGAATGGAGGGGATAGGCAGCCGAGGGGACCTAGGGGCTGTGGCATGAGTTCAAAGAGCAAGACGAGAATTGTGGGTGGTAGACCAGCTGATCCACGTGAGTGGCCTTGGATGGTTGCCCTCATTCGAACTGATGCTGATCATTACTGCGGAGGTGTGCTAATTACTGACAGACATGTTCTCACAGCCGCCCACTGCGTACACGGGTATGTGTAGTCAACGACGAACAATAATTAATTAATGAACTCTGATCTAAGAGAGACAGGGAAATATCTTATAACATCTTCGCTATGCAGATTCTCCTTCTCCATTCATAAAAACTCCATTTTCATTAAATTCTGAATAGAATATTTTTCTCCTGATTAATCATGCCGTATGTAATACAATCTCACGGCGCAGTAAAAATCTTTATCACCCACTAAACAGTAGAAAATTGAAATGAGCAATTGTCATTTCCACAAAGCGCGATAATAATAAATTGCAAATAATTTCTCAGCAACTTTCATTTCACATTTTCTTTCTCCAACAATAATTTTTCACCTAAATAACACGGTTAACGGATCTCATCGCCAAACGTAATTACAATAACAATACAGCAACAGAGCGGTAAAACGGTTCAAGTTTAATCGGCAGAAAGTTTTCAAATATATTTCAGAGTTAAAAAAAACATTAGCCCACAATTTTTATGCAAAGCTCGTTAAGAGCTACCAAAAAAAGGTATTCCAAAATATTCACTGTATTTTGTAGATTGAGAAATATTTTTTGAAGAGTGAGGTAAGAAGTAAGGCTTGAGTTGTTTTACCGCTTCGCTACTACACAGTGCCCATAGCTAAGTAGCCCGACAGTTTCATGGAGGAGTGAAAATGGATGAACGGTTTCCGCATTGTCGAATGAAACGGTTTCACCCATTCAATGCTCGTCTACCTGACGTCCTTGAATATCATATAGAAATACGTCTAAGGTATGGGTCATAGCCCCGGGGAAAGACACTATCTACATATCCTTTTCTTATGGAAATTGTACAAATATCGCTGGTGTTTGTACTGTATATGAACCTCGCTGGAATTCACCTTTGATGAGATCGTTTCAGCTCGATTCAATGCGTGGGCCTTTGAAGGTAAAATTTGTGTCAATATGCAAAGGCCACAAGGGAAATGAATTCTGTAGAGAACTTTTACCTTCATTTTTATCGGTATTAAATGCAAAAATATTGTTTCATGAATTTTCATGAGTTTTATTAGATAACATGATCTATAATACGAAGAATACCTTCGATCCCACCTCCACATGCATCAAAAAATTGTCATGTAATTTCAGATTACGGAAAAGAGATGTCATCGTACGATTAGGCGAATACGATTTTTCCGCGGACAATAAACCTCGCGTGCACGACTTAAGGATAATTGAAATAAGGAGTCATCCAGATTTCGATGCATTGAATTATGATAACGATATTGCAATCATCAAGCTTCACAGGCGGACGGTATTCAACACCTACATCTGGCCCATTTGTCTCCCACCCACTGGCTTTTCCGCGGAGAACAAGAGTGCAATAGTCACAGGTAAGGGAAAAAAGATCAGATGAGAGTACTTTCAATCAAGAAGTTGCCCATACTAAAAAAAAGTCTCTTCTTCCAGCGAACAAAAGAAAAGGAAAAAAAATCCATTTCTGTCATTCAGTCCGTGAGGTAACTCTGCGCGCTCGTAAAGCGTCGCCTCATGGACTGAGGAACAAAACGAACTTTTCTCACGATTGTGTTTATATTCCTCGGGTTCGAAATTTCTAATACTCTCCAGCAATTTACTTGGCAACGAAATTATTCCAGCGCGGTTCTTAATTCATTACGCATTCATTCGTTCTTTCGATTATCCCACGAGTAATTGAACAATAACAAAAGTTCCTCAACCGCTATTAATCACCAAATTATTCAGTGTATAAATAATTTGAGCTCACATTTCGATTAACAAAGTGAATACCTGGGCATCCCCATTGCTTTATAACATCATGTAGCGCATAATACTCAACGTCCTCCACTTCATCTTGATTTTCACATCTCTGGGTTTGTCCTAATGAGAGGGTGAAAAGCCGATATTCAAAGTCACAATTAACAGTACTAATTACACGAGCATTAGCGCGTATCCCCTTTCAATTAAAGCTCGTAATCCTTCGATTTTCCAACAGTAGAGCTAATTAGTGAACTGCATGTGTGACTAAATGTCTGTTGTTATACGTCAGCTTAAACGTTCGCATTGAATGTGATATATTAGCATATAATTAATGTTAATTGCCCCAAATGTTGAATCTAATCTATTTTCTTTCGTTGACAATAATTAATTTATATGCAGTGACTACACACTGAATACACACAATTCTGCATGGCATTGGACAACCCTCGCGCACGCTCGACCGCTGTGCAAAATTTTTTAATCCTTCGCTGTCATATTTATATTGACGAGACCGAACGCGCGCTGTGATTATAAAAATCATCATTGAAAATTTAAAAATTAAATAAGTTCTGAATTCAAATGCGCAGCCTCAGACGACTGGACCAATGAGGAATCAGCGTGACAGACTTTCGAGATATCGATAGTCTCGATGCCTGCTCTTTTTATTATAGAGAGAGATAGAAAACTAGCGACTAGATGCCTTTTTATAGCACCACTATGCGATGACTGTTCCAATTATTTTCGATTATTTTCGAGTTTCGACTTTTGAAGAATAGATTGGCATTCGAGATGCCATTCGAGTGCAATTCGAGATTCTCGATGCTTCCCTTTATATATTAATATATATATTATATATATTAGGATAGATAGATTATAGAAACGAATGACGAGATCGTCCACGCGCATTCATTCGAAATTTTTGAAATTTAGTGATGACGTTGTGGTGGCGGGTCAGTTTCGTCTTCTTACGTTTTTACCCGTGCCGTCATTCGAGATATTTCTTGACCAATTTCCTTTCTCCTTTTTATATCAGACTAAAATGGTAGGAGAGGAGATTAAATAGTACATGCTACTCATGCGAAAAGCAAGCAGAGTGCAGAATGAATCGCTTGTTCCACTTGCCAAATAATATGTTATTTCTAGCTAAATTCATTAATCAACTGATTGGCAGGTTGGGGAACGCAATATTACGGGGGTCCAGCGAGTCCAATCCTTCTGGAAGTGGCAGTGCCAGTGTGGCCACAGGACTTATGCAGAAGAACAATGGAATCTAGGGTATCACAGAACACCCTATGTGCGGGTGCCTATCAGGGTGGACAGGATTCATGTCAAGTAATCATCAATACAGATAAAAGAGGAGAAAAAAAGAGTGAATGTACTCACGCGTCGTCGATCACCAGCTAACGAAATTCATTGTTTTTTCCCCAGGGTGATTCAGGTGGACCACTACTCCATCAGCTCGGCAATGGTCGTTGGATAAATATAGGAATAGTCTCCTGGGGAGTACGCTGCGGTGAACCAGGCTATCCCGGTATCTACACACGTGTCAGCTCCTACCTCGACTGGATTTTCGCCAATGCCATCTTCTAAACTCCTCCATAAACTTCAAAACAATTCCAAAACAATCAAACTTTATTCTGCTATATTGATTGGTACATTAAAAGGTTTTATCATCTTTTAAACCTCGAGATAAATAGAACTTTACTCTTTGAATTTAAAGAGTTTCCTGTTTTTTTTGTTTATTTTGGTTGTCACTTACTTAATCATTCTCTTTCGCTCTCTCGTTCACACTTACAACATACCCGGACAGTTGTCTTCTTTCAGGGCTGGAGAAAAAACGAATCACACGTGAATTATCACAAACACACAATTTTTCTCAATCGTCCAGTCATTGGAGGCCCAGCCTCGATATCTAACAATTCTATAATATACGTCGATCAATATTCACCGTTGAATTTAATGTTTTTTTAAATTTTCTACCTCTGTTTACATAAACATTTAGGTTATATACATATATATTCATATCTCTGATTTTAATTCACTCGTATGACATTCAACTAATAACGATTTTCATCTACATTAAACAGAAGTAGAATTTGAATTTTCAAAACAAAATTTTACTCCCTTTTCAGAGTCCGCAAAATGCCTTAAAGTACGATAAGCCTAACAATGTATTTTGGTATGCTTTGTTCCTCAATCGTAAAATCGATGTTTGAGTTGTGTTTTCTCCCCGTCATTCGATAGAATTTTCGATAGATGCGCGAACGCATCAACTTTCATCTATATGAATTGTACAATCGATAAATCTGAAACTCAAGCCGCTTCCGGCAAACTCTATCCACAATATATTCTTTATCATGAACTTTAGCACCTTTGTGACATTTATCCCCCTTTATCTCACACCTTAAGTTTAGTATTTTAATTGCAATGCTCTTTAATTAAATCTTGGTTCCTGGTTTACCTTGTAAAGAGATCACGTGATTTACCACTTAAATTATTACTTTGGATTTCATTAATCTCTAAAGTAAATGAGAATTTTAACTACTGAGAATTATGGAGGCTTTGGATGAATCCCCTAGTTCAATGGATTCTCTCACTTGGTTTAACGATATTTGGAATGGTCCAGCACCTTTGCAATCAGTTACTCTAAGTTAACTCGTGTCTCGTAGTTGATTCAGTGGATACGCAAAAAAGTAACTAAAAATCGACTGCGAGTAGGAAAATCTCCATAGGTATCTTACCTATCATCATTCTTCAAATTCGATATCATCGATAAATTTCACTATTTCCTCTGAGCCATGAGTGCCTAATTTCCACAACAAAACATTATTTTCCCTTAGGCTTACTTTAATTGTCAGTGAGTCGTTGAACATCACGTCAACGTGACAGTTCAGATCTACCGTTAAAGTGATTTGAAGCATTCTACGCTGAGTCAAGCTCATGGAATTGATCCTGCTGGCAGGAGTAGTGGTGCATTAGGTCCACTTTCTGCATGATTCGGCACATTTTCACTTGGCAGGCTCTGATGCACCGTTGAATTATTTGCATTACGCTGATGGGATGGCGATAAAGTCAGTGTATGATTACCCGGTGCACCATTACCAGTTATATTCAGCACGTTACGGGTGCAATTCTGATTTGATGGATTCTGGAGATTTTGGGGCTGACCTTGGATCTGTTGAGTCGCTGGAGCAACTGATGGATCTGTCATTGTGCTAACTGTGTTCTGTTGTACGTTGTTATTGATTGGTTTCTCACCGACCAGCCAGTAGGTCGTCATCTTGCCCTTTCCCTGCAATATGTCAAGTATTTCGAGATTGTATTTCGACGAGTATTTAAACACGCCAGATCATCTCAACACCAAAGTCATAAAGTTAGACTAATCCAATTAAAAATCCCTTTTAATCATCTGTATTTTCATCATCTTAATCATCTAGCTCGAAAACTATCATTTCTGGGTGGAAATGTGAGATTTTCCGGATATTTTCTCTTAAAATTAAAAATTTTCATTAAACAAACAATATTTCATTAATCAGCATGAATTGGCTTGTCACACGTCGCTAATGATTTTTATTTGCGTGGGGACAATTTTTCCGGAAAATTATTCTTGTCGATGTATGATATTCTGGAGGTTTGATTTGTTACTTTTCAATGTGATATTTCATATTTGTCAGAAGACGGAGCATCGGTGCATGATCGTTCGACTTTGAGTGGCATATTGGCTCGTCAAACATTGAATTGAGTGTGTGATCAAGCGCACACGAGTAATTGGAGCGGAAGAAACATGCAGGAAGTGTGCGTACTAGGTGGCACAACAGTTTTTCGCGAAAAGACAGGCCCTACTCGAATGTTGTCTATTGTTTGACGCGAGTGGGAGTTAAGGGGAGATTAAAGGGAACCGACGTTAGCATGATTGCAACGAGTCGTGTTCAGACGCAAGTTGTAATTGAAGCTTACGTGGGAATTAGTGTCGCGTTGAGAGGGAAATAAAAGACAACCGAGAGATGTTTAATACTCTCGGAACATTTAAGGGAGAGGAATTGACTTGTGTGGATTTAATTCGAGAAGTTAAATGGAAAAAGTTGCTTGGGGGGCCAGAGGCCCAAGGAGTGGAAAATATTTTTAATCCTCAGGATCGGGGGAACGAGAAATTTTCAGCGAAACTTAATCTCAATATTCAAAGTTAGTGAATGTTTAGTTATTTTAATGGAACTTTACCTTTAGAGTGACTTCTCCTCGACAGTGAAGCTCAAATGTACCGAAGGTATCCAGAACTTCCTTCGTGGCGGGACTGACATGAATCTTCAATGCTACAACAAACCACAAGTGCATCCTTGAATCACTTCACGAGAATTAATAAAACTCGGAGGATAAAGCGGCGGGAATTAATTGGGTCACAAGGAGAGGTAACTCTCGGGGGAGTTATTGACACTGAGGATTCACTTCATCAGGCATTTTCTCTCGTTTCCGTTCATCAAATATCACTGTTTTTTATCGAGCATAGAAAGACGTGGAAACTACAGGTCATGACTGCACGGAGAAAAAAAATTCATGGTTTTAAATCAAAAATAATTTGCTTCTAGGACTAGCTAGTTTTAGAATCTAGTGATCAGATATTCTTAAAACAAATGATTTTCCCTTGACACAGCCATTATTTTCTCTATATGCAGAAGACTGAAAGTCAAGTGGAATCCCTTTTCTTCTGCATCCATTGGCAATTTTCAAGTCTTTGACATGGAAACTCCTTCCCAGAGCTTCCAATTAGCTCTATTTGGATAGCTTTATGCAGAAAAAGTGGAAACTCGAGGGATTAAACATGCCATGAGCTATCACACACTGCGAGTTATTCTAACAGGGTAAAAATAAGTGGGAGGTGGTTATTGCGGCATTGTTGGAAAAGAGAGGAGGGAAATAGGGAAGTCCCCTCGGGCCACTCGAGCACTAGCTGACGATAGCAGGTCGTGTGGTAAAATGGATTTGCGGGGGAATAAATGGGTATGGGAATTCCAGGGATCTGAAGAGCAGGAGATAAAAGTTAAAAGGGATTCCATTTTTTTTTTTGGCTTACGTTCTCCATTGCTCTCCATCCTTGATGCTGTATTCACTGTATCGCCGAAGAGACAGTACCTCGGCATCTTCAGACCCACCACCCCTGCAACACATGGTCCTGCGAACATTTGGGGGAAGGGGATTTACGATTAAATTACGTTTGATGCTAGTCCTCGGGGAATTTGTTAGTTTTTAATCGAAAGTTTGATGAAACATCAGTTGCCAGTGGTCAAAGCCAAGTTTAATGACGACCCAACATTTTCAATCCCTCAATCTCCATCTCCAGTATGAAATCCATGCCCACAGGTTCAGCGGTGAACCAATCAAAAAAGTAATCAACTCGGAAATTAAAATCTATCTTGTAGCCTCGCGTCACCCTTCCAATTTTAGATTTTTGAATTTTCGGAGAAACCGAGCAAACCTGCGTTATTACAGCGCTCAATGAGTATTGGTGAGAAGAGAGGATTTTCTGAGGGACCAGTGGACATTATTGACTCGAGGGAGAGGGCACACACGGGATGATGAATACTGTGAATTGACGGAGAAGGAAGCCTCGTTCTCTAGAAAATTACTCTTTGTTTACTAATGCATGGACACGGAGACAAAAATACCGTTCATTCAATTCGGGATTCTTCTCGACTGAAGATATTCATTTCTCTCCCTTTTTTCTTTCTTATAAGAGGGTTTGGCCATCCGCCAACCATTAATTCCGTATATATTCAATGCTCAGAGAATATTAGAATATCAAAAGAGCTCACAAATGCAAAAATGAGAAAAAAAATTCATAACCGGCTCAGGGGGCTGATCTATAAATTTTGGTGAAGGAAAAGTGACTTTTTTTAAATCGAATTTTCGCATCAACCAAACGTATATATGAGTTTCTATATGCTCACTATGTAAATGGTATTGAAACCCCCAAAGTCATCAGAAAAGCAAAAATTAAATGGCAATCCTGCACGATTTAATCTAGCGACTTTCTTATTGTTATGATGATTCATCACAACATTCAATTAGAGGAGATTTACATAGAATTACATTGATTGAAGAAAAGCAATGAAATTGTACTTCTTCATCCTTTCCAATAAATGAACGAATTCATAAAAAATCATACATGATATTCTACTCACCGGTGTGCATTCCAATGCGAAGTTTGAGCTGCTCATTAGGCCTGTGACGTATACTAAACGTCATTACAGTATCACGTAGGGCCAGACTCATTCTCGCTATCTCCCGGGCATGATTCATTCCATTTCTGACCGGCAGTCCTGAGACAACCATGTAAGCATCGCCTATCGTCTCCACCTGAAAAAAAAAAACCACATCAACGAAATAACCACGATTTCTATTATCTGGACGTTTTCCCACTCGACGTCGGATCCCCAAGGCGCCGAGTAACACAATGCGTGAAGAAATGGGTCACGGTTGTGGGTGAGAACGTCAGGGGTTGATTAGAATCACCTCACTAAAAATCTAAAAATACCAGGTGAATTTTTTGGCCATTTTTTCTCTGAGTTATCAGTACTGGATAATTTATGGAAGTGTTGAGCTTTTTCTACGGGAGGTTGGGCTCTATTTTCGGCTCTGCGTGATTCTGAAACTGCAGAGTCCAGGGGTTAGCTAGGTCTTAGCATTTTTCGAGTGCCGAAGGACATTATATTAATGGTGTGTCTTAATGGAGTTGGTGGGTAGAGCTCCCCTCTCGTTCCTTTCTCAATCATCTGAATATTTCCCATCAGCGTAGGTTCACCCTCCTGTTATTATTAACATTCATCTACCTCAGAGACTTATACATACAATACATGAATTGAAACCCATATTATATAAAATTCTCCTTTTTCTATAAATTTCTTTAGATTTCTAAATGACAATAAAGCACCTGGCGACGTCGTAAAATATAAAAATCTAGCGGCGAAGTGGTGAAATGAGAATGTAGACTTTACCATTTATTTTCATTATGGATTCATCTCTAAAACTATCGACTTAAGTCCTGGATGGACCATTTATCGAACATGATCTTTTGTTTAAATTCTATCTTGTGAGCCTAAAATATATTGAAATTTGAGATCAAATTTGTGTTGTGGAAACCATTCGGATGGTTATAAGAAGATAGACTAAAAAAAGAGGAAGAATTATTGAAGGGCCATAAATCGCGATGTTGATTAAAAAGGATTTATCAAGTTTACAAAAAAAAAAGTAAACAATAGGCTGACCATTGCATCTAGGTGTCACTTAATCCAGTGGACAGCAATAGTAAGTTGCGCGTTCTTTATTATTTTTTATAAACTTGATAGATCCTGTCAATCATTATGGTGAATCAGCGCACTTCATTAATTTTTTCTCTTTTTTTCATTATCTTTTCATAACCATTCAAGTCATAAATTTGATCCTAAATTTCGATATATTTCAGGCTAACCAGATAGAATTTAAACAAAAGATCACGTTCGATAGATACTCCATGCGGACCCTAAACCGAAAAAATCAAGGGACTGTTTTAAGATTGTTAATTTATTTTAATTTATTTTATTTATTATTGTTAATTTATCAGCAAAAATAAGTATACATAACGAAAGAGCAATTCCCCACTGGTTTAAATAAATTAATCACTCCACCACCAAAAATATAAAATTACTTGATGAAAATCTGGCAGGTGTCTTTCAAATTCACTCGAACTGCCATTGTTTGCCATGCTTTATACCTTTGAACTTTGAAAATTCAGCAATTCCAACTCTACCTTCACCGGAAATTTATATTCAAGAGAGACAGCAAACTTTTGGGTTCCATTGTCATATATTCCCTAGGACTGAATTTTATTTCCCGTTACTCCTCGGATTTCATCGTGGGCGTGAGTATAGTCGAACTAACAAGTCAAGTGTAATAACAGCCGTTGTTATTAATGGATGGAATAATGATGGTTTTAATGGTGATTCTCATCTTCCATGTTGGAAAATTAATGAGTAGACGTGGGTGAGACCTCCAACAATTGTCTCTACAGCTTAAGATAATTGACAAAAACAAACACGAATGATGAACAGTCATCAGCAGAAATCTTCAAATTCGACTGATGAAAAAAAAAACAGTCACTAGATTAATTTGGAAAGGGATGATTGCCATCTTCCAGGAAAAACGTGGGAGTCGAGTAATTGCTACGAGAAAATTTGGCAAAGCAAGTGGTAATACGAGGTAACGATTCGACTGACCCAATTCAATAGAAACTCGTTTGTGAGATTCAATTACTATTCTCCCTCCGCTGAAGGGATTCAAAAAATAAAAACTCTTTTACAACGATAAAACTGACGAGGCCGATAGCGTCAATCAGGAATGGATACTGTTGCGAAGGTAAAATTATTGGCCAATGGTGCACATAAATAAAGTTGAGAGTCCAGCAAATGCACTTAGCAGTACATGACGTTACCTATTAATGGACGTACGATCCATTAAAAAGGACTAACAGCGCACATTAGTGAACTTTTACTTAATGTAATGTGATATTTATACCAGCGATAGGTTTCAACACTCCTGCGAACACTGCCAACACTTTGATCGACCAAAATTGGTTTCAAAATTGTTTTTCCGTGAAAACGTAACTATGAAAATTGATTGAAAAATATCTCGTGTTTTTTGAAGCAAAAATTGATGAGATAAGCCGAGTGTATCGTTCTGGAAGCACCATTGAACCACCGGCAACTCCTCACTCAATCATCCACGGCCTTCACCTCTGATGAATCAATACTTTCTCCCTCAGAAGTCATAAAACCAGTGAACTTGAAAATTTATTTACCTTGTACACGTCGAAATTCTCGATGATCGAGTCGAAACACGTGTAGAGATCGTTGAGGAGGTCGACAACCTGCAATGGTGTACTCTCAGCTGATAGACTTGTGAATCCAACTATATCACTGAAGTAAATTGTCACATGGTCGTACGTTTCAGCGATTACACTTTGACCCAGAATCAGTTGTGAAGCTACAGATCTATAATCAGAAAAAATTGCATATCGTTGAAGGAAATCAGTATCAAAGTCAGATTAGTAGACTTCACCCAGATTCACATTGTTCTTAACGATCAATATATCTTGACAGTTACGGATTAGAGGTCGAACCATTAGACGTAGGCTTTATAAAGCCTTTAATGTAGCTCATTCAACTCCGTACGAAAAAGGCTTTTTGTATTTTCTCCTAGAATCAGTGATTGTCACAATTCCTCGATATTCGAAACAACGAAATATGTCGTATTTTACTTTTTCTTTGTTCATTTGCAGAAAGGGTAGAAAATGGGAAGGACGTGAAGCAATTTCAAAAATTATATAAAGCCATTCTTCCTTCACCAAATTATGGATTCAGTACAATTATCATATTATTTAAAATGAACTCGCCCATTTAATAACTAAAATATCAAAATGAACTCGGTCCGGTGATTTCAAAAGCAATTCCATTTCATGTAAATAGCATTGTCGTTGAGGATTATATAAACTCGTAGTTGTTACTACGTAATAGCCACGTGTTACGAGAACAATAAGAGGAGAAATTGCCACGTGGGTCATTATCCGTATGACGTTCAATGACTGATGATAACTATCATCATTACTACTCATCATATTGAGTTCAGAAAGGCTTTGCGCCAAGCTGAGACGAAGAATTCTCAACAATTTCTGGATACTGATGAGAAAAATCGAGGAAAAATCCGTATCCCCGTGGACAGGCGACTCCTGGGGTGGACAAAAGCAAATGGACATAAAATAGGAAAACCAACATGAGACCAATTTTTTATTCGCTTCCGTTTTTTTTTTGTTCGGAGTCTCATTGAGATATTTATCGCAGGAGGAAGTCATTTGGAAGAGGAATAGAAACTACTGGAGATCGAGAAAAAGCTTTTCGTCATTAAAGAAAGGATCAATGATCAAACACTCGTATTAACATTAACATAAAATTAATTAATTCTTGATCCAATCTAAAAAATAAATTTTTGAAAACGAAACTGTGCTTTTGCTCCTACAAATTTTCTTCCGAGAAAAAAGACTTTTTCTTCCTCTGTCAGTTGAAATTCTAGTAGTGCATTAGTACGTATAATTCTAATAATCTCCATCACGCTCTCTGTAACCGGAATTACACACATCAACGTGAATATCTGGAAACAGCTGGGAATTATGCACTGACGTTTCGTCTAATTCCCAGAACCATCGGTGGTCCGCATATTGTCCGCAATTATCATGTGGAACATTCGAGGAATAGATAGAAATTTCCGAGAGAAATCACTCGGGGAATTTCGAGAACTAAAGCTCTAGTCTATTCTCAATATTCCATCGCTTTCCCGGCCGTAAAATGATTAAACTAGTGAATAAAAAACCCATGTTTCACATTTTATTGAATAACATATAATTCGACTAGTGAAAATTGATCTACGAGAGGTGGGAGTTTTGAAGTTCTTGAATTAATACATCCTTAAAAAACTTATCCAAATTTTATTGAAAAGAAAAAAAAATTGTTAAAACAAGATTTACCTTTCAATTAATTTTACTCAATATGCCAACCAATTATGTTTGCATTTCAAACTGTAAATGAACAATTTAAACACTTGCTGAAACTATTAAAATAAATCATGTAATTTTGGTTAATAGTTTAACAGTTATTGAACTCACTTAGGCAACAGTTGATAGAGTAACTCCTCGCATTTGCGTTTTTCCTCTAGATAATCAGCGGTACGTTCAGCCACCAGCGTTTCCAAGTTGTTGGCATATTGCTCCATACGTGAGAGGAGATTGTCCAGAATATTGCTGCTCTCATAGTCTCTAGAGTTGACAGAAATAGAGGATGATGATTAGTTGTTGTTTCAATCAATTCTCCTCTATGCAACGCAATAAAGAATTAGGATCACACTCCGTTGTCTTTACACCTGAACACCCATGCAGCAAATTCTCAAATACGAGCGTTCTAAATTATTAAATAAAAAAAATTAATTAAATAAAAAATCGTATTACTACCAGCAATTTTACGCAACTTATACCTCCATTTGAAATTATTTCATTGACTAATTTCGCTCATGGTGCATGTTCTTCCGGAGAGATAACTACGACAAAGAATTCCCATCGAAATTCCTAATTGAAGATGAAAGAGAATATGACGAATAAAAAAAACTACCACAAGACGATCAGCTAGCACGTGTAAATCGACTGTTTCCCATTAAATTTATGGAATCAATACGAATCGGTAATTAATGCCACAGCCTGATTCTTATTGTGTTCCTTTGAATTCCTTTGAACTGAAATTACACGAAATCACTTGAAATCAGCAATCATTCTGTGATGATACTCGACATCGAATAACCTCTCGCAAAGTTCAATACGTTACATCTATGTGGCATATAATTACTAGCATATGTATTCGCGGTATTAGGCTTATCTACATATATGGGCGTATATCTAATTAAATTTGGAACATTTTGAGGGGTCACACATTCCGCTAGATGGGAAAACAGTAGAGTATAGACCGTTAAGTTTGAAAATGCAAAAAACTTTGTGTTCAGAAAAATGACATCAAAGTTCAAGATACTAATATCTTGAGTTGACTACTTGGTAGTTGAATAAATTATGATTTTAATACCTAGGAAATAACCGTCTTAACATAAACCAGCGTTTACTGCGATTAAATTATCGGGTTATCATTAAATAAACAAGCTTTGGCAAGGTGGTCCCTTTCTCGGAAATGCATTTTCATTGTTAATACCATAATTGATTTTTTCAAGACAAAACATAATTACTATTATTATATAAACTTTAGGATCTATAAAATACCACATGGAGGTAGAAATCTATGAAAAATTACGTGGGAGTTCCGTAATTCGGATGTAAACTTCCAATTCGATCAATTTGTTCCGCGATTTTTACATAAGACTCTCGTAAAAATTAATCGAATTGCAAAATCACATTCGAATTACGGTATTCTCACGTAATTGTTTATATATTTCTTTTCTCCGTGCGTGAAACAGAAAATACGTTCCTTGAACTCGTATTCATTTCTTCTGACAAAAAAGGATTGATTGCTCGTTACAATGGCTAAATTAATTAAATACTTAGTATTATTAGTACTCATCCATGTGCAATGTGCATCATTATTTGTTTTATCATGCAATAGACCCACATAAAAGATATAAATTCTCAAGTTCAGGCCCAAATGACAAAGTGGGCCATTTCCTATTTTACATCAAATAAACGAAAATAATACTTCTAATGAAAATATAATGATGAAATACGAAGTTATTAAAAAAAATGAAGACTCTTAACTAAAATTAAAAAAAATCAGTTATATTAAAAAATAAAACCGTGAAAGTGGGCCCTTCCCATGTGGACGTCTACACTTTTTTTTCGGTGAAGGAACAGAAGTCAATGGACAAGACAATGATTATTTTGATGCCCGAAAAATGAAGAGTTTATTAGAGGTATTGCAATAGAACTCAGTTAGTTCCCTGAATTGTCCTGAGAATGCAAGATCGTACAGGTAAATTCTGGAATCCAGCCAGCCGGATATTTTCGCTTCGATTGGCCCATAATAAAACAATGTACTTGAATTTCACAATGAAATAAGGTAGGCATTTGAGTGACTCAGCATTCAATGTTTCATCATGTTTACCTAGTGCGTGTATGCATCCCCATTGTGCTTGGGTATTCCGGTGCAAAGACCGCAGAGGGCTTCTCCCAATGCACTTCTGCATGTACATACAGATATTGCAGAGTGCCTCGAGCCATTTCCGTTAAATTTCTCGAGGGAGTTATTTTGTTATTCTGATTCTCATTTAAAAAACCAATTTTCCAGGGGATGGATTTAATAATATGCACAACATAAGAATTCTCCAGCAGGATTGCTGTGTCTTTTTTAATCATTATTCTCTGCAAGAAACAATTTTCGGAATTGCTTTGAAGTCTTCATAAATTAATTTGTAATACGTCAGATATTTTCAAGGTATTTCTCGGAATTTTCCCCAGGAAACGGTTACAGCTCTTTAATTTAAGGATGCTGTGCCGCCTTTCGACCAAAATTTGGGTTTTTTAAATTTTCCTGACAAATTTTGGCGTTTTGTCATTGTTTAATGACAATAAATAAAATTGGATGAACACTTTTTTAAATTAATAATAATCAGGTAATGAGGGATAAAGTTCTGACGTTTTCTACAGAATTATTCATTTGGGTTATAAATATGGCAAGAAATTGGCGCCTTGAAATTCGTTGGGGCAGAATGCCTATCTGGCTAGACCCTTGCCCACACTCGTGTCTAGGCAACGAAGTTTCCAGAGAATATCCGATAACTCCACGTGGGGCTCAACGAGTAATATCGCCATGTTTAATGCATGAACCAGTATTTTACACAGATACACAGGGTTCTGATCCCTCGTTCCCCCTCGGTTCTCCTAATCAGGTTGAAATTCCAGGACCATTCCAGCTACTCCACCATTTTGTAAATCGATATTTATGACTTGCCGACTGTATGCAGTCCTCAGCAGTAATAATTCTTGGGTAAATTATGGGGACAAATCATCCACCGAGGGCAAGATCCGACTTCAACTACAATTTCCTTTCTCACTACTTCCACTTTAGTCTACTTTATCCTACTCGAGAAGTAATTAACCTCATTTCTGTCGCTTGATTGGCTCGGGAATTACCCAGACGATCGGATTATCGGACTGACACCTCTATGGCAAGCTCACTCCAACTTTCAACCAAGTTTAATTACTATGATAAATTCATTTCAACGGGGGATGAAAAATTCAGGTACGCTTTTTTTCATTGACGGGACTTATATCTCTCGACGAACGGTATTGTTGAAAAATATCACAGTAATTCTCATGATAATCTCATCAAGTTCGATTTAACGGACAAATCGAATCAAATTAAAAGTTAAGTAAGTTCATGACAGATTTCCTTGAATTTTCTTCTTAAATATAATTAAATAAAAATACCAATATATCCAATAACCTATCAAATAAATTTATTAAATTGATTAAATATTCGATTTTTTTAAATATTGTTACGTATATTAAGAAAAAAATTAATTCAATTCTCTTAAATTCAATTTTACAAACTGAACTCAATGCATTACTTATCTATTTCCATTATATAATGAACAAGTATACCGGAAAATTGCATTGCATTTATAGTTATAGATTTCTGTTGGAATATAGTCTCAGTCTTCTACGAATTGATTTTTATGAGTCTATAGTTTCAAAAATGAATCAACATGGAGAGAGATGTTAGGACTAAAACATAAACATAAGTAATGAGGTCATGTGGCAAAGAGCCTGAAGATCCTTTGTCTCGTGATGACGATTTTTCTCTTGGTCTCGACCACTTTTAGTCTGCTGAAGCAGGTCATAGAGAACAGACATTTCTCCCTCGTGCCATTTTTAATAAATTAAAAATAACGTATTTAATCCACTGTGTTAAATTATTTATCTGCACCCACCATATTCCATTAATTTCATTTATCGAATCGATTTTTGTGTATGTGTGTCATATGATGATTATAGTCACGCGAAGCTCCCAAATACTAATCATTTAAAAAGTCTAAAAAAATGCAAAGAAGCTTTACTTTCCATAATTTTTCACGAGTGTAAACCGATCTGGGTAACATCTGAATGCAATTCCATTTCAAAGTGTCATCCACAACATCCCGAGGAATAGAAAACCATTTCATAAATATTGAAAGTGTTTTCTCGAAGAATGAGCCATAACAATCTACGCTTTGATAACTCCACGAAAATCCAATAAAATTCCCCCAACGTATCACAAGCCCATCTTCCTTATCCCCAGATAATCACCTATGGAGGTAACACACGTGTCACAATTCGTTTTGCTTCACTTCCAACAAAAAATCGTTCATTTTTTCAACGTCTGACTCAACATCGCGTGTAATCACTAGCATCTCCAAGGGGAAAACTCTCATTTTTTTTTATCACTCACTATTGTGCGCTGCGGGGAGTGACAAATAAAAACTGGCAAAATCCTCACTGTGATCGATTGTTCATATCACTGTTCGCCAGAGCTATTCACCCCCCACCGATCGATTCCACCACTGAATCGACATTTATTCGTCGACTCTCAGGGGAGAGAAAAAAGAAGACAAAAAAAAATGGAATCACTTGACTTCACAGGGATAAAAAGTTCCTTAGTGGTGAAAAAAAAATATCTTAATGTCAGAAAAGAAGTTTCGAGAATAAAAAAAAACTTTTCTCATATAGAGAATGAATTTCAGTTCTAACATCAAGAAACTTTTTTTTGGAATCCCATAAACCCAAAATCGGGGATTCGAGGGATATTTCGGTAACAAAAGATTCAACAATACCCTCACGTGACTAGAATAGCCCTGAGGATTTTCTGGTGACCTGAGTTTACGTCGGAGCTTGGAAATCAATACATCCCACAGGCTTCACCCTAATTTACGCACGCGATGCGTCAGAGGGACAAATAGATATCCGAGAGGTTGACAATATACATAACCGCGATGGAACATCTCAAAGAGACGGATAACGTCATTACCTCGTTGAGAGCTTCCTTCACAGTTGGCACCCCACACCGACCTTGTTCACCAAAATTTAATGACGCTGGTATTTTCCATAGAAATTCCTATACCTACACACCTATATCATTAAAAGTATTAAAACTGTCTTAAACATTGAATTGATAATTCATAGAAAAAATTTACTCATCCATGTACAATATTCTATTTTATTCCATTATATAGCATATATTTTTTTAAGACAAAAATTTTATTATGGCTGTCTATATCATTGGGAGGTTA